TGCAGAAATAATAATAACGCAAAAGTTAATACCGTTAACCTTTGATTCATTTTTTGTAAAGTAATTAACGAGTTGAGGCTTGGGATTACGGTTATCAACATATCCAGTAGAAATTTTTCTTATTAAATGCATAAAAGTGGATATTATTAGTGTCAAATTTTCTGTTACCTTACTTCCTATTAATCCTTGGTACAAAACACGATACTAAAAAACGGTATCTCATAAAAAATAGCATCCAGCAGATCTTTTTTCAAAATTCACTAATGGTGTTACCACTTGACTCCAATTACAATTCATCGGACATAGCCATGGACCGGTCCCGATCCGGGTTGGGCCTCGGCCCGGCTGGGCCATTTTCAGTGGAGCCCGGAACCGGCCTGAATGTTGGCCGGTGCCGGTCCGGGCCGGGCCGCCCGGGTAGCGGGCCGGGTCGGTTGAAGTTTTTTTAATTAATAAATTAATTTGAGAAATGCTACATATAAAAATAATAATGTATATTTATTTGAAATATGAACTACAAGTCTACAATTGAGAATTGAGGGAAAAATTAAAACATGAAATACATTTTGTAATAAATAGTAAAATACTAATCAATCGGAATTTCCGTCAGCGTTAGAGTCACTCTCGGTTGTTGATTCATCTATAACGTGTCGGGTGTGGGTGATGCTAAGTTCTTGAGTTCTACGTTAGGCTTTCAACCAATCGTGGTAGCAAACAAGCGTCTCAAGAAAGGTTGCGCTCAATCTCGTTCTAGACTCCGTTACGACGTTGCCGGCCGAACTAAATTCTTTTTCCACGGAAACTGTTGAAACAGGCATTGATAGCACTTGCTTAGCCATCTTTGATAAAACCGGGAACATTCTTTCTTTTTCCTTCCACCATTTTAGAACGTCAAAGTCATCATCTTCTTCAAAATCAACATGATATGTTAAATACAAAGAAAGCTCGTTAACTGAGCTTTGTTCAACAGCGGGAGTTGTTTTAGTTTTTTTTCATAAGATTGTCAAATGTAGATTTAACAAATGATTTTCCTTTAGATGAAGGTGTTCGTGTCGGGGAAGGGGGTGTGTTGCCATATTGTGCATGAAACTCATTAACTAATTGATAAAATAAATTACTAACTTCGTTCTATTCTTGTTTAGGATCTATGGGGTTATCTTCATACATAGGAAATGCACCAAAAAAGAAGCATAACAGAAGTCTAAACATTCTTGCAAAGTACCAAGTTTATAACGAGGATCTAGAATAAATGCAATACCATAAATATACGGAATATGTGCATAATATTTTAAAAACTTTTCTTTCATAAATTCACAAAAATAATTAACGTAAGGGGCGTTCAAAAATTCATTAAAAGCACCAGCGAGATTAAATGCTTCACAAAAAAATTGGTTTGAGGTACGTTTATAAATATGACTACAAGTTTCAGTTGCATTAAAAAATTATACCAAAACATTCACAATTTTTTCGCAAGTGTCGATGTCAGCCGGGTTTATAATATAGTTAGCATATTCTTTTTAAAAAGCAGGAAAATGTTCTTTATATCTAACAAGTACTTTAATTAACTTATAAGTACTATTCTAGCGAATAGACAAATCTTTAGGAAAAGCACAATATTTCACACGTCTTTCTATCAAATAATTTTGACATTGTAATTTAAGTTGACCACTAGCCCAAATACGTCTAATTCCCTCCTTGACTACCTCCATAGCATTTCCTAACACGGTTAGACCGTCTTGCACACATAAATTGAGAATATGGCATGCACATTGTTGATGAAAAACCTTATCCATCAAAGTAGTAGAACCACACAATTCACGCAATCTAGGTATAGCAACAATATTATTACTAGCATTATCAAAACCCATAGCAAACACCTTATCAATCCAATTATACTCAATTAAAATGCGCTCAATGAGAATATAAATATTACCAGCAGTGTGTCGATCATTAAATTCACGAAAAGCAAGAACACGTTTATGCATTTCCCAATCATCATCAATATAATGTGCAGTCAGACCCAAATAATATAAATGATGATATGTATTCTCCCATATGTCACTACAAATATTAACACGCCCATTAAAGTTTGCGAAAAAAATTTGTAATCTTGCCTTTTCCGCATCATAAAGCTTTATAATTTCTTTTTTAATCATTTTGCGACTATAATTTCTAAATTGAGGATTTAAATTACCTTGAGCAAATTCTCTTAAAGCAAGACTTTCAAAAAAAAGATAAGGCAAATTTTCTTCAACAATAAAGTTAGACATACCACTCAAATGTTTGGAATCATCATATGAGAAATTACCAAAGGGTTGGCCATTTGCAAACCTCGATATTTGAGTTTGCTTCCCCATGCCTTGTGGCGCTATTTTCGCATACTCCACGGGGTGCGCGGCCTTAAGATGCCTTCTTGTGCTCCCGTATCCTTGTAAAATTCCCAAGTTATACACTTTTCCGCAATGGTTGCAAATTGCGTACCATATCTCTGTTGCTTTGTCTTTCTTTCTTTTTTTTTTTTAATTATTTTTCATCATGAGAGATTTAGTTTTCTTACCCATTTGGGATGAACGAACCTCGTCCTCAATGTCTTCCTCATCGTCCAGGGCACCGTGACCCTCATCGTCGGCCGTCGCCAGATTGTCCTCCTTAGCATCATCATCCTCGAGCTCTTCTTCGTCAATGGTCGGGATGTCTTGTTGTTGGAAAAAGCGGTCATTTTGTTGATCCAACGGTTCTTGTAGTTGCTCGTCGGACATCACATCCACATCTCTCCGTTGGTAATCCGTTTCAAAATCATCTCGGCTTTGAGAAGAGGGCCCGATATGTCCTTTACCTTTGCGTGAATGAGGATGATTCTTCCCAATCTCCTTCCTTCGGTTGCGAGTGAGGTTACCCATATCAACAAAATGTCTACTACGATCCATCTTAAAAATGTAACAAATATTAAATTGCAACAAATATATTAATATAAGTACAAAAGTAATGCAACTAATTAAAACTATTTTAATTAATATTCTAACAAGTGCAGTTTAATGAAATAAAATTTTAATCAAACTACTTTAATAAAATGTGAAGTATTTTACTAAAACAAACTCGAACTACTTTTGTTTCTTGAAATAAAAATTCGAACTACTTTTTTTATATTTTAATGAAAAATGTAAAAATTAACTAGCTCAAATTTAATGACAAATGTAACAATTAACTAGTTTTATAATTTAATGACAAAATGTAACAAATAACTACTTTTATAATTTAATGACAAATGTAACAATTAACTAGTTTTGTAATTTAATGAAAAATGTAACAATTAACTAGCTCTAATTTAATGACAAATGTAACAATTAACTACTTTTATAATTTAATGACAAATGTAACAAATAACTACTTTTATGATTTAATGACGAATGTAATAATTAAATAGTTTTGTAATTTAATGACAAATGTAACAACTAACTAGTTTACTAATACGAAAATGACAAAACTAAATATTAATAAAAAAATGTAACTAATACAAAAAATGTATGAATGTGTATACTAATTAATGGTAGTGTGAGTGTATAAGTAATAGAATGAATTTAATTAATATTAATGAAAGTGTAACTAATATATAATATTAGTTAAATATATAATATATAAGTATACTACTATAAGATGAGTAGTACACTTATATTTAATACTTATATATATATATATATATATATATATATATATATATATATATATATATATATATATAAGTAGATAATAAGTATATGAGTAGATATAATAATTGTATAACTAATATAATGTTTAAAGTATATTAACTATAAGTATATTACTATAAGATGAGTAATACACTTATATTTAATACTTTAATATATATAAGTATATATTGACTAAATGTAATATGTAAATATAACTATATAAGTAAATAACAAGAATATAAAAAGTAGATGATAAGTAGATAATAAATAGGTATTAAGTATATATTAAGTAGATAATAAATATTAGTAATATAATATATGTATTTATAAGTAGATAATTAATATATAAGTAGATATAATAATTGTATAAATAATATATGTAGAGAGAATTAGAGAATATGGAGATGGAGATGATTAAGAGTTGGAGAAAAATGTATAGAAAATAGGAGTATATGTAGGATTTTTTGTACCCCCCCCCCCCCCCCCCCCCTCCTCGGCCTCAAACGGCTATAGAGCCGTTTGGGAATAATCCCAACGGCTAGGAGGTAATTTAATTTTATTTATTTATTTATTTATTGAAATTCTAGCCGTTACGGCCCGGTCCAGCCCGACCGGTTCCATATTTGGGGCACCCGAGCCCGCTCGGTTTACTAACCGGTGCGGTCCACCCGGACCGGTCCAGGGCCCAGTCACCGGGCAGGGTCAGCACACTACTGGGCCGGGCCTGTTCACGGGCCGGGCGGCCCGGTTTCGGTCGATGACTAATCGCACATGACTTTGCTTGTATTCTTGATCATAAAGAAATTAATGATCAAAATTCAGAACTCCGGTGACAATATTTTTTTAGTTAATTCAATCTATGTAACCAGGTAACCAACTACCTTTTGATCAACCAAGTATATGCTATTGATTCAGTTTGTATTTTTTTAAAACCAAAGTACATCCTTAATTGTGCTAGCGAAACCCACTCCAGCACGATCTCTGCAGAACCCAACCACCCACCTCTTGACTAGGGTGGACTCAGTCCTAGTCCAGTCCCAGCCCCGAACCAGCTGGTCCAGGAGTCCTGACCCAGGTGTCATGTTCATACGCTCAAACTCACCCCCACTTAAATTGACCTACCATAGCCAGAGGAAGTGGGGAAACGATATCACGAACAACAGCTTTTAATACCTAACGGGTAAACCATACCCGCTTCCATTTGAAGGGTCACGAACTCGCATTATCAATCTGAATATGGCCTTGAATTGTTGGTGGTTCGTGAGTAGAAAATGTGTGCACTTGAGAAGCATTCCAAGACAAAAAATGTGTTAACTTGGCAGAAAATGTGGTTGGTTAAACCAAAAGAGATTGGTTTCTTGGGACTATTATTCATTACCATGAAGCAAAAGATTTGGACACAATTTGAAAAAAAGGTGATGAAATGTGTATTTTACACAAATAAGTGGAGTACAACAGGGATAGATGGAATGCTCATACATTCTTGGCCATTTAAATGATGCCAAGACCAATCAGTTTTATGCCTATGGCAATTGCTGTCTGTTCCATTCAGTCAAGCAAATTCTGGATAGCCCACCTCTGCAGTTTTTACCATAATACATCACAAGAGATCGCAACCCCCAACAAAAAATGCAGGAATTCTTTCAGCTTTAAAGGAATGATCAGCACACGGTTCTCCCATAGCATATTGAAGCAATGTAGAGATTCTTGGACCACTTTTCCTGCAATTATTTGCTTGTTAGTTGCAGAACGACATGGACCAGCCAGTTCAAATTATGGGCCAGCCTGTCCCAGTCATTGTTTGTGTGGAACAGGAGTTGGGTATACCAGCCTACCAGGTCCGGTTCTTGGTTCGGTTCCAGTCCGGATCTCAGGGTCAGGTACCAATATAATACCCAGTCAGGTTCTGGGTGTGTTTTTAGCTTATAAAAAACAGAGCCTGAACCAGTCTGTTCTGATCCCATTACGGAGATCTCTAAACTGGTTTGGACCGGTTTGGACTCTGGAAAAGAACGGCCAGTCCAGGTTTAGGTCATTGAAAAAAAACTAGTGTATTTTGAAAGAAGTGAAAAAAGTCCAACCTTTACATGAGTGCTTGGAAATGCAGAAGTCCGAAGGGTCTCTTGAGTTTCATCCATCACTTTGCGTCTAGGTATACTCAATATGAGAGCTGCTTGATCGCCAGTGGCAGCCATTGATGTTATTCTGTAACCACTCTCCCACCGTCTATGGATTCCTTCACTTGGATACAGAAAGTCAAGCTCAACAACCTGTGTTATTATTATTTTTATTAAAAATAAAAAATTGACGCTGTTAGAAAAAATTATTTCAGAGAAGAGTGACCATGCAAGCCCAAGCAGTAGTAGTCAGAGCTGACCTGTTCTGAGTATCCTGCATTCCTGGACATCACGACACCCCAACGACTCCCAGCAGTAGTCATGGACGTCACATGGAACCCTTCTTTCCATTTCTTGTTTATCCATTTAAATGGAAATGATTCACTTACTTTGTAAGACTGCTGAGTATAAGGAGTTCCTGAACAATTCCACCATGCAGTTAGCAGAAACAATTAAATATATAAATTAAATAATAAAAAAACCTGAGAGCGTGGATAGAAAGAGGACAAGACAAGTTTTAACTACCCAACCTTTAGACATAACCACCAAGGAACTTCCATTAGTTGCACCAGCTATTGAGCTGATATAAAAGTTCTTTTCCCACTGTTCCATTATCCAATCCTGACAAGAATACACAAGGGAATCAACTGTGTAAGTGTGTATCAAAGAATTACTCCAAGGAGTAAAACATGAGTCGCATGCACAAGCACAAGATTCCTTATTTTGTGCTTAAAGCGGATAAAAGTAGTTAATAATTCTTCTTTCAGAAGTGAATGAGCCCTGTTGTCAGGACAAAGCACATGCAATTTTCTTTTACACTGTGTATTATCCAAAGAAACAAGCGAGAAAAGTGGGTGGGATAACAGTAGAAGAAGCAAAGGGAATAAGGAATGACCTTATGAAGGAAAACTGCTGAAAGATCATAGACTTGGGAACTGAAACCCGTTCCAGCATCCATTATCAAGGCCCAAAGATTTGCAGCAGAAGCCACACAGCTAATATATAAGCCATCTTCGTTCCCCTTCTCTACATGCTGGCTTAGCCTAGTGTCTGCAACGTTGTAGTGGTATCTAAAATTCCACAAGAAAACAAAACAAAAAGTTAATACCAGACAATCATAGAAGACTGAAGACACATCGCACACAGCAATCACTTAATAACTTTGAGCATGCATTCAAAGCTTTATCAAATGCTCTACAAACACTGTGCCTAACACTTAGCATGAGCACTTTACTTAATTTCTTAAATATTGGACTTGGCAAGCCAAACGCTCTGAAAATGCTAAGCCAAACCACCCCTAGACTGCTGATCAAAGCGTAACTAAAAACAACACGCCAACACAATTTAAAATATAAGGGATCCAGAAGTAGCCAAAGACCCTACGCCCTAGCATGTCCAATGCCGACTAAGAACATCACACCTTTTCCCTTTCAGACCCGCCATTCAAGTCAGAGATGTAAAAAATTAATGTATAAAAAGACCTTCCACCCATAGTGGTTTGAGATATGCATATTGTTTATAGCAAATTAATTTTCTAATTAATTGAGAGTAGGAAACTCACACTACAGGCATCTAAAAAAAGAGTAAAGCTTCTTTTAAATAATATAGGTACAAAAAAAACATATAAACAGCAATAATAAACATCTGATATTCTTTGGTGAGATAGTTTAGAGTATCAAAACACAACTCCATGACAAAACTATACAAGCTTGAAGATTTAAATCATTTGAAAATGATCAACTGTGAAGATCTTTTCATATAACGTTACTAAAATTAACATATAAAGTTTACCTCTGCTTCATGGGACGGCGAGCATTGTACACTGAAATCCACTGGTTAGCAGGACTACCCAGTCGTACTTTCTTCCTTGGCTGTTCATCTTCCTCCAAGTTTATGAGCAGCCTGCTACGCTTCTGACCAACCTGATCCAGAGAAACAACAACTTTAGGGAGGAAACAACAACAATGTCCAAACACTTCACTGATAATTGTACATATGTTATGAATGAACCTTGAGAGCTCCATCAATTCTTATTGGCCTAAGTGATGTACATGGTTCAATTAAACTGTCAAAAAAAGATATAAGCTTTGCATAATTTGGCTCTTCATCGAACTTCATATTAGTAACAGCTTCGAGAAACTGTTTGAATGGTGCCGGACAAAAGCAACACATTAACTCTGGAGATGTAGCCATCTTCTTTTTGCAGACAAGGAAACTCTTGTTATCACCCTGATAAATTCATGAATAACGGAAATCCAAAGAGATCTATTATTCCTTATATGTCAAAGCAAATTCAAAACAACAATGTGTTTTTGAGATGGATATATTATTAACTAACCTGATAACCTTGCCAAGGCAACCTTCCCTTTATGAGAAAAATTAGTGTGTATGCCAGAGACTCAAGATCGTCTCTTCTACTTCCTGTTCTACCTAAATGTGCATGGACACTGGCGTATCTTATAGTCCCCCTGTCGAAGAAAAAATATATAAGTACATATTCATGCAATATTATTTGTCAGTTTCCTGAATAAAATTCACAAACCTGAATATATCAGGCCTCTGGTCATATTCTACATGCTGACCAGATGCTGAGTCTTTCCACCTCGAAGCTGAACAAATAAATGTATTAGATAATTGTAGTAATCATTTCAGTTAAGAAAAATAAGTGGTGCTTGTCAAAGGTGTGATTCCATATGAGCACAAGACAGACATCCTACCCAACCCAAGATCGATAAGATACAGCTTCTTTTCCTCAGCTGTTCCTGGCTGACCAAGTAAAAAATTCTCAGGCTTCACATCTCCGTGGACAAACCTGACATCAGTTATAAGAAATCAATACCCTGAAATCCCGAATATGAAGGAAAGTTAAAAGAAATCGCAAGATCTTAGAAAGAACAATGAAGGCTCACCCCTTCAAGTGAAGCTTTTCAAGAATAGATATTGCCTCCACTGCAATGCAGGCAGCCATATTTGGTGACATCCTGTTGCATGAGCCAATCGTTATAGCTATAAGTGATTTTGGGGTAAATGATTGTATCGTAACCTATTATTATTCATAGTCTTCATAAAAGAAGTGATGAATGAGAAAGGAAAAGAGAGCAAGAATTATCTTACGATTGCCCCAAAGAATTCCAAACATCCCAAAGACTTGGTCCAAGAATGTCCATAACCTGAAATTAAATTTCAGAAAAAAGAATAGCAAGGAGATCAAAACAAGTGCAATAAGACAAATAGCAATACTAACCAGAATGTAGAAATCTCCCTGTCGGCCCTTGTAGTGAACCATTGGAATTCCATAGCATCCATTAAGAGTGCTTTCAATGAGAAACCAATCATCATGCAACCATAAATTAGGCTTTTTCATCATAAGATTAACTGACCCAAAGACTAGACCTTGAAACAAAGATGCTTACTTGTACACCTGCCACTCGTACGGAGGGCCGTAGTTGCAACCCTTGCTATTTCGGTGCTCAAACTTCAAGGCAACCTAAGGAAAATTTACATACACTTTCATCTATTCCAGACATTATTAAATCTTTAGGCTCACACGCACAGCATTAAGGGAGTGAGATATGTACCTCAACCGCGTCTGGTCCTGTTCTCTCTGTACCACCACTTATTTTCCTGCCAACATAGACTTGGCCAAACCCACCCTTACCTAGCTTCCTTTCGGTCTTGTACTGAGGAGAATTGCCGACTTGTACCTGCATTCAGTCAAAAATAGACTCAGAAAAACTCTTTAAGTAAAGACAAATTATAAGTACGGCTTGAAATAAGCCATATATAGTATTCCTAGAATATTGAGAAAACAACACAAAATAAGATAATCAATAGGGGCATTATGTCTTTTCAACAACTCTTCAGATGATTCAGAGTATTTTTAAAATACAAAAGTTTGAAACTTGTCAGCGATTATCTATATTTCATTACAGATTTTCCTTTTTAATACACAACTTTTACTTCTAACTTCTTCCTCTCACAAGGCTTAATCATACAGGACTTCGATATTTCTTTATTTACAAAAACAGAAATATGACTGATGGAGTAATACGAAATATAAATGGAAAGATACCCTCTCAGGTACGGGAGTTGTATTTCCTTCTTCTTCGACTCCCACTGCTTTATTATCTCCACTGCCACCTTCCATTGCAATATCTTTGTTTGCAGCACCTTCAATTCGATTAATAGCAGTAGGTTCCCTGATTACACCTGCAACAGCTTGAGGTGCCTCACAAGGTGGCTCTGGATCTAAATCTATCAACCTAACCCCCCTGCCTCTACCACCACCAGCTGGCCTCCCACGAACTCCTGTTGAAGGTCCTTTTGCTACAGCTGTTGCATTACCTCTACCCCTTCCACCGCCGCCTCCACCTCTCCTTCTGGTTCTATTCTGTGTGGGTAAAGCCAAATTTTCTTCTTGTCCGTTGGTGGGTTGGGGGGCAGACTGGAGATCACCTAGCCGCTTTGATCTCCGTGCTCCACTACACAACTCTGGCATCGTCACCCATGCAAATCACATTCCCCTCCAGTCACTAGCCTTTCTGTTAGAACCTTTTATATCAAAACTAACAAGAAAAGAATCAGACTGTGATAAAGATTATATGCCCAAAATGCCCAAAGTATAAGAAAAACACAAAGCAACACTGGACAGATATATCTAAAAGTGTGTATGTTTTAAGAACTAAGGAAACATCAACCCTTCTACAGGATATTGGATGTCAATATGATCTTAAAGAACATAGGAGATTCACCTAACATGCAAGTTTCACATTTTATAAACCTGGATGTATAACAAAATATTGGTGCAACATAAGTAAGTTCAAATAAATCAAGAAACCGTGATTATCTAATCAAGGTGAATAGCTATTGCAACGATTAAGAATCCAACAGAAAACAAAAATCTAATCGAACAAGCAACAAGGTCGCAATATTATCCGTACATTCCATTTGAACCAAAGGATATATAAAAATAATTTAAAAAATACATGAACGGCAGATCGTACCTCAGAAACAGCAAAAGCTCGAAGATCGGTGAGTAGCCCAATGAAAATTAAAACATCGCATACACGACTCGATTTCGCCTATCAAATCAGATCTTCGGCGCAGTATGTTCAGGCCAAAAAAAAACTGGAAAAAGAAGAAGCTGTGAGTATAACAAGGTTCAATACCTAAACATATAAATAAAAAATATCTTCTTCTCTGTTCACCACTTACCTTGTTGTTGGTTTGGGGCAAAAGATGTAACAAATGACTGATGGAGATCAAGATACACTCGGTGGAATTCGAAAACCGATGGACAGCAGGGACTCTATATACTACCAAAGTACATCCAATTTGTTCGTATAATAATGATAATGTCTACGGAGTAATATCAATAATTATTATTATTATTATTATTATATAATAATAATAGTAATAATAATACTCTGTAACAATGATAATAATAAAATATACTCCTCGTTGTTTTAATGTTCACTAGAATAGATTTAAGTACATTGTTTAAGGATCAAATAATAAGGGTAATGAATAATGTAGAAAAAAGTATGAGAAAATGTGAAAAAGTATAAAAGAGAAGAAAACAATTAGATAAAGTAAGGACAATTAAGTACTTTTATAGAAAAAGTTTACCAAAAATAGAAAATGTAACTAACTTTTAAATACATCCCAAAAAATAAAGTTGTAGCAAATAGTAAAATATGGATGGAGTAATAATAATACTTCGTACTAATAATGATTTTTTAATTGAGCTTTATAACTGATCTTCTATATTGATGCAGCATCTTATTTGTTACCTTCACCTTAGTTAGACGGGTCCCAACTTAGGTCATGTCAAACCTTAAATTTAAAAAATGACTTAGTTTTTAAGGTAAAAGTTTCGATGTAAAAAATAAAAATAAAAATCTTGTAATGGCTTAGTTCGGTTCAGTGCTCTGGCTCCACCCTAAATGTCACGGTGATACATCGACCATAATTTACTTAGCAAAAATAATAATAATGCTAATAACAATGGTAATAAAAATCTTTGTATCTTTATATAGAGAGACTGTAGTGGAAATCCAAATAGAAATAAATTTAGAGTAAAAAAAGAGAAAACTTGTTATTATATTTAATGAAGCATTATTTAATTAGTCAATAACTAATATCAAATGTCAATCAATGCTTAAGTATAAATCTAATAAATAATTGTAAATTATAAATAAAGTATTATAATTTTATATATAAAAAGAATATGCTGAAAATCCATTTTTTATTTTGTCGTCGTGTTTAATGAAAGATATCCAATAATTAATAAAGATCAATTATCAAGTGCAATCCAATTCATAATTGTATGTGATAAATAAAATATTAGAAAATGAGGATAAAGACTATATATATAAATACCATTACTAGAGAAATTTAGAAACATAGACTTGAATTAATTACTAATTAAGAGGCATAACCTAATAAAATTAGAAAAATGACATGCTCTAATTTTAATACATAAAATAGAGTATTACATTATATTCAAGCTTGATGGATTTGGGTACAAAATTGTACGGAGTATAAAATAAAATGATACTCCATCTATCCTATTAAGATTATCACATACTATATTTGGTAAATTTTGTGTCTAATTTATTTTTACTTTATTCTTACTTTATGAATTCAATATTAACCACATAAACTCATTTTTCTTAATAACCATGTCACCCCCCACGTCTCAATGTTAGTGGGATGAAGTTAGTAATGATTAGTAGTTCTCCATAAATTTTGGTCAAAATGACTTGCATTTGACATAAGAAAGTAAAAATGAAAAATCTTTTTAGAACGGTTAAATAAAAAAATTGGTCATAAGGAAAGTGTATGTGAATAGTCTTTCTAAATACAAAGAACATCATAAACATTTTGTATTGTGATATATTTTAGGAATTGTGGCTATTAAGAGATAGGGTGGCCCCTGTGAAAGTGCTTATAGCTGAATTCACTGAGGATTCAGTAAAGTTCAAGAGCTTAGCGTATGTGGTCATGAAGCAGGTTTGCTCACATAACACTATTTTGTGATGATTATATTCTGAACACATGGGAGACTGAGTGTTTGTATTAGGCACTTACGAAAAATTTGAACCTAAATTGGAGTAAAAGTCGTCTGAAGTGATTTGCGGTGAGCAAGAGATTGCTATGTAGAAACATTGAAGAAGGAAAACATTAATCTCCGAGTTCATCTCATCAATGAGCAGTACAAAGGAAGGGGTCATAGGAATTGTCGAGTAAAATGTGGAGCTAAAAGAGACCGCTCCAAATACTTGTCATTAAGATAAAATCGTTGAGGTCGGAGCTTGCCTTCTAGTTAATATTTTGAAAAGAAATGTTTCAAGTGTTAATATATTTCGCAATCATATTTACGTGAATGGAGCCCTTTACAAATGTCAAGAATTGATCAATCGATCACTGCCCACTAGTTTTTAAAGATAGAGTTAATAATCAAATCTTTAGTACATTAGAAGTGTTACATATCAATCGAGAGGTGCAACTTTTTAAAACTAGAGACAACATTAATTTTGAAATCGGAAATTGTCCTAAATAGGACTAAAAAGTTCCTAAAAAGCACAAATAGGACTACTATTTTTAAAATTCCCTAAATAGGACTAAACATTGATTTTATACCCTAAATACCCCTAAGAGTATTAATTCATAATGAAATGCTTTAATTCATAATAAAATCACAAAAAATGTAAACAAATATTTAAAAAACATAAAAAAATTAAAAAAAAAATTATAAAACATTTATAAAATAAAAAATTTAATTTTTTATTTTTTTAATTTTTTTAAAAAAATAATAAAAAATAGTAAAAAACCCATAAAAAATGAAAAAAATTATGGATACCTTTCTCACCGCCTCCCGCCGCCTCCCAGCACCACCACCTCCAATTGGTGAAATTTCTTCCACTTTTGGTAAAAAAATGCCATATTTTTCTGAAAATGCCAAAAAGATGGCATAATTACTCTTCAATATGCCAACATTTTCATTGATTATGCCATCATTATGGCATTATTTAAAATGTTGGCATATTTTTGTCCGGTGATGGGAGATGGTGGTGTTGGGGGGTGGCAGGGGTGGTGATGTGTTTTTTTTAATTTTATGATTTTTTTTATTTATTTTTTATTTTTTTTAAAAAAATATTTTTTTTTTATTTTTTTAAAAAAATATTTTTATTAATTTTTTATTATTTTTTTACGATTTTTAGTATTTTTTTCGATTTTTATTAATTTTTTTATGATTTTATTATTAATTAAAACATTTCACAAGTTACAAGGGTATATTTGTCCAAACACACATAAATAGTCCTATTAAGGGAATTTAAAAAATGTAGTCCTATTTGTGCAATTTTTCCACTTTTTAGTCCTATTTAGGGAATTCACTCTTTTGAAATTGCTCGTACAGAAGAGGCCAAATATCCTAAATGGTTTACCAAAGTTACGCCGAAAAATGTGTGTGGATTACAATATCAATAGTCTTAAGGAGTGTTTACAATTGCTTCAACTTTAAAATAATGATTTTTTAAAGTGATTTTGGGAAAATTGATTAATAGTAAAAGTTGGTAGTGTTTGAGAAAAAAGTGATTCTGAAAAAGTAAAAGTTGGTAGTGTTTGGTAAAATAAGTACTTTTTGTGTAATAGAAAAAGTGAGAAGCAGTTTAAAGCACCCTTCTACCTGCTTCCAGCTTTTAAGTGATTAATTTAAGCAGAAACTGTCATTTGAAAACACTCTTTTCAACTTTTTTTAAGCCAAAAGCCAAAAAAACGCTTTTTTAAAGCAATCCCAAACACTCCTTTAGTGTCAGTTACGCCGAGAGATGCACCAACGTTGGCAAAACAAAACATAAGTGTTTATTTATATATGGAAAATTAAATGACTAGTAAAATAGTCATCGATTTTTATTCACACACTTTGTGGTCTCTAAAATAATTTTCACACACTCTTATCTTCATGAAAGATATATAGCATGTTCGATTTAATGAATCACACAACATCAAGGTTACTGATGGACAGTGTACCCGGGGTAGCTTATCCGATGGGTTATTATGAGAATAACCTAGAAAGAAGTCAGAGCAAACAAGTAAGAGAGAGAGAGAGAGAGAGAGGCGATTGTATTAATGAACTCGAGATGTTCTGGTCTTTTACAATGGGAAAAGGGGGTGCTATTTATAGCAGCAATAAATGTGATGAGAGTACGCATGTTAGCAATCTAACGGCCGAGGGGTCACCTCAATCGGGTGGCACCGGCATTCGCATGTGCACTGCATTAAATGCGGTGGGTGGATGTGACGCCGCATTAAATGCGGTGGTTGTTTGTCTCTAAAGGGAATCTTCGATGATTGAGTTGTTGGCCGAGGGCTCCCCCTGCGACCGAGGGATCTGTGTAGCCGAGGGCATTGTACAGCCGAAGGCTCCCCTGATGCCGAAGGCACGAAAGTGCCGAAGGCTCCTGATTTCTGCCATTTTCTCCGAGTAGCTTCGTACGCTCAAATTTGGCTTGCCGAAGGCTACCCTGGGCGCACCTCAGGCTCCTTTGAGCTTCCTGGGCCTGTGCTAGAGTAGTAGGAGTCTGTGGGCCGGGGGTTCCTGGGCCATATACTCCATCAGGAGTCCCCCACTCCTTTTGCCGAAAGGTACTTAAGGGAAAAGGAGTAATTGTGGTGATTCTCCCGAAGGCTTCGTCGTTTTGCTGACCACCTTTAACTGGCTCTTTGTCCTCTGCTGTTTACCGAGGGCATTCCCTCAGTCCCCCACATGTCGAGGGCTTTCTGAGGGAAACGTAGATGTGTTGCCTGTATGTTTGTGTTTTGCCCGAAGGCTACATGTGTCCTTTGCAGGTTTTGTATATGTTGATTTTTGTTTTTGTAATATTCCCGAGGGGTATTTCTCAGTCCCCCACTCCTTTAGGCCGAAGGCAAGTTCGGGCTGAAGGAGTTATGATGTGCTGATGAGTTACCGAGGGGTATCAGTGACGAGGCGTGGACATATTGATAAGTCGAAGACTTATGTCGCTGCTGTTTGAAGGCATTTGGTGGCAGTTGACCACCGAAGGCAGTATTTGGTGATAGTCGAAGGTTATCATACAAGGGCATCTCTATATCTCAAGAATATAGCCGTTGGGATAAAGCCGTTGGAGGAGGGGTCCAAGTGGCCGGCTCCCGTTGGTCGAAGGCGGGCGGGTGCCACCCATTGGCTGAGGTGGCGGCCCGTAATGATGGGCTTTTAAGTCGAGGCCCATATTTCGAGGTTGGGAAGCCTATAAATACCCCAAGGTCGAGTTCATTTCTCCTGTGCGATTTGTTGCAAAGCGAAGCTCTGCCAAAATTTCTAGAGAAAGTAATCCCTTCGATCAATCATCAGCTTTTGAGGTCAGTTCTTCATCTGTTCTTCGCTCCCTGAGCAACTTTTGCTTTGTGACCTTAGATCATGTGTTAAAGGTGTAAATTAATTCTTTCACATAATGCTTGTCTCGAGAACAATATATTTATTTGTGAAAACACTTCAAAGATGAGGTATTTGTTTGGAGGCTCATCTCCCATGCACAAGCATTGTGTCTACCAGAGCAACAATAAATTGCTATCGTGTTCTTCAAAAGTTTCTCGCATACTCTTATCACATCTCATATGCATCATGTGTTTGTGAGAATAACAAAAACTAAGTTGTGAGAAATACGTAGTACGTATTAGTGAATCCAATCTCACACACACCAATTTCTACAAGAAAAAGAAAAACCTCAAATAACCATGAACTTCTTAATGACAAATAATGGTATGCTAGCTGAAGGGGTCGATAACAAACCCCGTATTCATCTACAACATTATACTCAAATTTAACTTTCTCCTTTAAATTCATGAAAACGTCATTTTTTTCTTCGATTTAGCGGTGTAAGCTATCCCGTTTAGAAGAAATGACAAGACCATAATGAACACCAATAAAATGAATTTACATCCCAGGAATTATCCTTCCGACAAACACGGTCTTGTTTATGAGCTCATTTTGTAGGCATCTAGAACATAACCCCAAAATATATGTCCTTCACATGTACGAAGTATGTGAGAGTCCATTGCAATGATGCCATGCATGTATTCATGAGAACAAAATTCAAATATTGTGTCGCATACATGAGTGTATGTGAGTAAATATATAGTGTGTGTGAACGTAAAAAAGTAGTGCAATAATAGAAATTCTAAAAAAGGCTCCTAAAAATAGAACTTTAGTTTTATTTACAAAAAATAGGGTAACCCATAAAACCCATATGCCATTCAAGCAAATTAAACAACCCAGGCGTATAAAACATTTTCCTTATTTATTAACTTCATGATGCTTAGTGTGATGAAATTAGAGTTGGACCTCAAAATGGAATAACATCCATTCTTAGGGTGTGGAAGAAATTAGATAGAAAGAGGAAAGAGAAGTCATAGTCTCTGGTTCTAAAAGGCGTTAAACGGTAGTCGGGCGCCATCCTAGCGGCTAGGCGGATGCCTAGGCGAGGACTAGTCAGAAGCATATAAATTATATATTTGTCAATTTTTTTGCTTAAATATTATAAGTAATTTTGTGTTTGTGTTTGTATAAAACACCCACACACACATTCAGTATACCTACTCACTTAACTTTATCATGTGATATAAATTAAATATTATATAATAATAAAAATTAAGAATGTATACAAATGTTTATAGTTTTTATCTTAATCTACAACTAGTAATTGTCTTCATATTGGTTGTTAAAGTTAAAGACACATATATGTTTTAGAAAAATAAAATAAAAAAGAAAAAAAAATGTTTAGGGAATGTAGGCCCCTCATGCGGCCGACTAAGCATTCTAAGCGGGCAAGTGGGCAACTAGGCGCCCCCTAGGCGACCGACTAATACACCTAGGTGTCAAAATAATTAGTCGGGGCGTCTAGACTAAAATCGGAGCATCCAGTCACCACGTAGTGTCTAGGCAGGGACTAGTCAGGTGCCTAGAACGATTTTCACAAAAATGGTCTCTACTCTATAGTTGTTAAAGTGTACACATGGCATGGCTTAGCAGAAATAAATAGAGGTTGCTATTTCATTATAAGCTGGAGAGTGGCCATTCTCGTCCAAGCCTTCAGTTTATCCTTATTCCATTTCGATAACAAATGGAAGTAAAGTGTCCAAAGATTTAGCATCTATTTATGTTGCTTTCTAGAAAAAGTGATCATCAATGGTACCAGTGCCACGAATGACCTCAGCTAAATATTGTTTACTCAGGTTTACTTTCAAGCATAATATATCCAAGTCTGTTTTGTGTTACACTGTGTTTGCAAATTTTGCAATGAATTATGAAGCTAATGTTCATGATATTGGCATGTCTATATTCTGAGCCCACCACCATTTGCACCATTTTCAACCTTCAAGAACCTTGGAAGTGTTTGAAAATATTGCCAATAGAGTGATAAGCAATGAAATATAAGGTAACACTAAATTTAAATGAAGATTTTTTTCAATCAATACAAATAACTTTAATTCATGTTGCAGTTCGTGTCAGTTTTCACAAAAAAAAAAAAAAAATCTAGTGTATTCAGTCTAAATTTTTGTCACCATAGCATTTTCCAAAAGCCAGTCACAACTCAAAAGCTCAAACATGAAAAGATCACCAATCGTAAAGACCGCTATCTATTACAAAAATTAGTACAACACATCGCTTGTACAACATTTTTATATCAACTTCACATTTTGTGTGCAGTGTCACAAACAAGTTGTGAACAAAAAAACTTGCCAATGTGCAGGTGGTCCTTTTTGTGTTCTAACTTCTAAACACATACATTCACAGATAAACCTTTGTTTTTGAGAACAAATATGTTGTTTGGTATGTACTGTGTAGGGGTATACAAGTGCCGTAGAAAAAGTATTTTTCCACATGAAATTCAAGAACTTTACAGTACAGTGTAGGTATGGACTGGGGCTGGGCGACCCGACCCGAGACCGGTAATGTTTGTACCGGCCCAGTACCGGTTTTCCGGTACAGATACCAACCCGGGACCAGAACCGTGGGTAGAATAGGTCAGGCTTCAGGCTTGTTTTCTTGGGACGGGCTGGGTCGGGCCCAGGCCTAACCACTACTTTTTCAAAATAAAAGTTTGTTTTTAATTAGAGGGTGGGGCCGACCCAGGACTGACCCGGGGCCGGTACTGTTTGGGCCCGGAACAATCCGGATCGGTACCGGGCTTCACTTTTTCTGTAAGGCGACCCGCCGGGCCCGGGCTGACCCGAGTCCGATCCTAGTACAGTGTACCAATTATATCAGATTACACTGGAGATGCATATGAAATCTATTTACTGATGTAAAGTGAGTTCAAAGTCTTCAATCACATTTCAGATCACTATATATCAGTCTTGTAGCAGTTGTGTATCATCAAAAGACATGTGTGATCAATTCATCATGTTAATTCAATGTACAGAAGCAGACTTGCTTTACAATGGTTAAATCTAAAGACAGCATCTCTGGGTAATTATACTTGAAAGACAGCAAGACAAAAATCAGATAACTTAATATAGTGATCAATGAATTGTGTTTTCCTTTTCTTCATCTGACATTTATACAAGTACAAGTATGCAGCTATTGCTTCAGAGCAGCTAAGGTATACATACACAAGAAGAGTTGCATTGAAAATAATCCCCTCATCAGTGCTCGTGTCCAAAACACTATATCACCGCACTACAGAGCATGAGCATGTGTGATCAGTGTGGTAACTGTCTGCAGGTTGGACAGTACCACTTGCCTTTAAATCTAGTCTCGGGTGTGAGTCCAACACAAGCATAGTGAAACCATTCACCTCCTTGGCACTGGCAATAACTAAATGTTAGGTGAATAATACAAGATATGAAATAGAAGTTATTAACTACGCATTGCTAGTCACACCATGTACAACTATGGAACACAGTGCTGTCTAACTGAATGGTTTTTTATACTAATGGTAAATAAACATTATAAATTTATAATTTCTACACGAAGAAAGAATTGTGTGGTTGACATTGTTTCTGATTTCATGTGGCTAAAGCAAATTGGATTATTGGAAGTTTAATTTGGTTGGGAGAGAGTACAGTACAAAATGCACAACCTGAAAACGTTCTGTGATTGTTCTTTCAATGCATATCATACAATAATATTGACTTTTTATCTTCTGGAATCTAAAGTGATCCTTTATCTAATAAACTTCCCAAAAGTAGCTTATGCAAATGTTGTTGCATAAGCAAAATCATTATACATAATGAAGGCTGAGGGGCAGATGGATCAAAAGAAAGCCACTCGGGGTGGGTCTTATTCTTCTTTAGATACATGCTAAATAATATTTGTGGATTTAATATGCATGCCATGCATATCCGTTTTTATCAAGAACTGCTGACATATCAATTAAAGTTAAAACTGATAGGAACCACAACACCCAGCAGAATTTTTGTAATATATTGATGAAAGATCTCAGAACTACAGTGACGGAAATAGAAAGGAAGAGAAGAGCGGATACTATTGAGACACTTCGAGTAGTCTCACACTCCCAGGCCTAATTCCAAATCCAATTTCTGCCTAACCTCTTATTTCTCCCTTCTCTTCTATTTATACTATCCGTAGTTATTATTATTATTATTATTATTATTATTATTATTATCATTATCGTCATTATTATTATTATTATTATTATTATTATCAACACTAGTCTGCCCGGGTCCAATCATATCTCCCCCCTTAGACAACCACCTTGTCCTCAAGGTGGGCGATAGGAAACAGCCTGACCAACAGCTTCATCTTTGCGCCTCTCCCTTCCCAATACATCACTGAGTTCTGGACCTTTAGCTTCAGCACAAAAAAAAAAGAATCTAGTGTATTTAGTCTAAAGTTTTGTCACCATAGCATTTTCCAAAAGCCAGTCACAACTCAAAAGCTCAAACATGAAAAGATCACCAATGGTAAAGACCACTATCTATTACAAAAATTAGTACTGTTGAAGTATTTGTCCCACACCGGAAAGCTATAAAATAATAAAATACTATATAAGGCTTTGAGTTACTCCTCCTATAAGGTTGATCTTTTAGGATGGAATCCCGGGTCTTAACATGGTATCAGAGCCAATTCCGGTTGTGGTTTGATTGCTTGTTTAGCACCCATGATTACGGGTAGCTTGTTAAGGGTCTGTTTGACCCATTTATACACCCCGATATTGTCCAGCCCGGTGCGGGCTGAGGGGGCGTGTTGAAGTATTTGTCCCACACCGGAAAGCTATAAAATAATAAAATACTATATAAGGCTTTGAGTTACTCCTCCTATCAGGTTGACCTTTTAGGATGGAATCCCGGGTCTTAACAAGTACAGCACATCGCTTGTACAACATTTCTATATCAACTTCACATTTTGTGTGCAGTGTCACAAACAAGTTGTGAACAAAAAAACTTGCCAATATGCAGTGGTCCTTTTTTTGTTCTAACTTCTAAACACATACATTCACAGATAAACCTTTGCTTTTTAGAACAAATATAATGTTTGGTATGTACTGTGTATGGGTATACAAGTGCCGTAGAAAAAGTATTTTTCCACATGAAATTCAAGAACTTTACAGTACAGTGTAGGTATGGACGGTATGGACTGGGGCCGGGCGACCCGACCCGAGACCGGTAATGTTTGTACCGGCCCAGTACTGGTTTTCCGGTACAGATACCAACCCGGGACCCGAACCGTGGGTAGAATAGGTCAGGCTTCAGGCTTGATTTCTTGGGACGGGCTGGGTCGGGCCTGGGCCTAACCACTACTTTTTCAAAAAAAAAAGTTTGTTTTTAATTAGAGGGTGGGCCCGACCCAGGACTGACCCGGGGCCGGTACTGTTTGGGCTCGGACCGGACCAAACCGGATCGGTACCGGTCCAGGCCCAAACAGTACAGATTAATATATCGATAATGTTCCCCCGGTTTGTCACTCATTAATATATCTACAAGCCTAGAGATAAAAGCATTCCAATCTTCCTGATTGGATTGCCTAAGAAAAGAGCTACCAGTACAGATTGCTCGTTGAACAGTTTCACAATGAGTGTTCAGTACATCCCACAATGTTCTAGTAGATGTGATACCCTTGACAGTTTCTTGTTTTAAAGATAGATCCACAAGGTACCCTATCTGGGAGACATCAATTACAGCAGCCTGAAAGGTAGAGTCCAGATCCACATTGATTGCACCCAACCGATATTCAAAAACAAACTCATCAGCCCATCTCAGTCCAGAATCTGAGTACAAAACTAGAAGCTTGGCAATCTTGTTTCTGACCGAACGCATTCTTGAATAAATGAAAAATCAGTTGAAGAGCATAATGACTGCTGCAATGACACTGTTAGTTGACCAGATTCATTATTAACATCAAAGGTCTCAGATCTCTTGTCGTCTTTAGCCTTACTTCTATGGACCACCGAATGCGGAAATATTTGACTAACCTCCAGGGAAAGATGCTGAGATGTGCTGATTAATGAGTACTTGGCAGAAAGTACCAAATTGCAACCTTCAACATCAAGAACCAAAAGCTGGTAAATTTCAAAACCAGGCTTCAAGATACACTTCCTTAACCCAGCAAGATTACTATGATCGTATAAATGTTCTGGAAGAATCATTCCTTTCAAATAAATTGGAGCACCAGGAGTGACATTTCCAGAAATGACATTTCCCGGTTTAACCAATTCATTCTCAGACAACCTCATCGGTCTTGTTGTAATGCTGAAGTTGATTCGTCTTGCTGCAGGGTTAGAACTGACCTCTCTGCACTTAACAACTTGCTCAACATGATACCTTCAGTTTATTTCAGAGCTAGGATCTACTCCAAACTCAGACTGGAAAAACCTTGCCCTCCATTGTAGACCCGAACAAAGCAACCATGCTTTTCAATCTTCATCCATCCCTGTGTCATTAGTCTTTCAGTAGCATCAGTGTATGAGATGAATATTCCATGTTTAATTTTAACCAGAGTTTTCTTATGGTCAACTATAATCCTTTTGTACTTGCAACCAATCACACGAAAGGCTATTTCAGGCCCCACCTGAAAAATCTTCCCCGGCTCTACTATTTCAATTTCTAACATACTTCCTCCGTTCTTAAATAATCGCAACACTTTCCTTTTTGGTCTGTTTTAAATTAGTTGCAACCTTTCCTTTTTGGGTAAAAAGTAACGTGTAAAATGACTTCAATATCCTTGGTTAACCTACCCACCACACCAGTCACCACCCACCAGGCTCACCTCATCTCTCTCTTCTTTACTAACTTAGATAAACATTTCGAATTACCGTACGAAGTGATTTACACTCATGGATAGAGAGTGTCTATCTTTTTCACTTTAACTTACACGGCTCTCTCTATAATCTTTCTTCTTCCAGTGTTACAACAATCTCTTTTTTTCCGCTCATTATGTTCTTTCTTCCTAGACCATTTATCTAGTTTTTTCTTTCTTCCCTAAAAAACAGAGGTCCGACCTCAAGATTTTAATGGCAAGCTAATCTTTTTGTTCCGCCTGGTCTCCCTCGAAATATGCACAAGAAGTATTTTAAAATTTAATCATCTGTTTTTTTTGAGGAATTTTAATTATCTGTAGTAGAAAATCAATTTGTATCTTACGGAGTGTTAATTTGGTGATAATTTAATTTTTAATCCATCTGTATGTTCGTGGCTTCTGCCTCTTTGGTCTTGGTAAGATTTACTCTGTATGCGTATGTGATTATTGGTCTTGGGAATTATCCATTGTCAGAGCACTGTAGCACTTTTTGCTTTTGAGCTTGTAACAAGGATAGAATAGGAAAAACACATCTTGGCCGAGCGTTTCTTAATTTCTGCGCCTGAACCCCATGTTGCAGCTATTTCCGAACGGAGGAAGTATGTCGTAGAGGGCAAATCGCTTTCATGCCACTTGCAAAATAGCACAAAAACGGTCAACAGTAATAACTTTACCCTTTACTATCATCCCCAGCTTGGAATCTGAGTGAGTGAAAACTGATCCTTCAATGCAATATTCTGTGGATCATCCTGCACCAATGACTTTGCCAAGGCACCCAGGAGTATTACAACGCTGTCACCCACCAGAGCTTTGTCCTGACTTTTAGCATAAGCAACACCCTTCTACATCCCTCTTCTATTAGTAAGTGTGTGAACCATGTTACCCCTTTCCAAATCCTCATCTCTTTTCCAGCAATTGCCATATGAGACCGGTTGTCAAAACCTACACCTCCATCTAGCACTAGAGCAACCCAGGGTCGACTTGCTCTAATACCATTGATAGGAACCACAACAAATGCAGCAGAATTTTTGTAATATATTGATGAAAGGTCTCAGAACTACAGTGACGCAAATAGAAAGAAAGAGAAGAGTGGATACTATTGAAACACATTGGGTAGGCTCGCACACCCAGGCCTAACCTCTTATTTCTCCCCTCCCTTCTATTTATACTACCCATACAGTTGTTGTTATTATTATTATTATTATTATCATTGTTGTTATTATTATTATCAGCACTAGTCTGCCCGGGTCCTATCAAAAACCCCATATGACCGTTAGCTTTCCAGTATCAGTTAAAAGCATCGGAAAAAAAATGAAGGTAGTACAAAGTGTTGGCCTGTTTCATGTATACTAATACTACTCGTTAAGTCGTTAATAAATATGACCATGCTCAATGCTTTTAGATAATAAGGCTGATAATAACCACTGTGAGTCTGTGATAAAATGCTTACAGTTTCATTGTCACATGCAATCATATCACCGAATGATACCTGAAAAATCCACCATTTATCAGAAGTGAGGAGACACTATAAGAGCTTATTTTATGCTTTCAACACGAGATATATAAGTTATAGGTTTTGATGTGTGGCATAATTGAAAAAGATAACTAGCAAATTTGTAATTAATGACCAGAAACAAACCTGATGACAGACACAGTATGTGGGCTCATTTGGATCAATGGGTTGATCGATATCAACTGGAGAAGAGAAATCCTTTTTTAGGCCTCCTGGAGGTGGCATAAGCTCAAAGTCCCTGTCACGCTCGCGGTCCCAATCTCTCTCCCTATATTCAGGTCTTTTTGACTGGGGCATTCCATACATATGTTTGCGCTTTTCAGATTTGAGGACCAGAGGCAATGGAGGAAGAATGGCTGGTTCATCTGCTGGTAATTTTCCCTCTGCACAATTATAGAGTAGAAACAAGGCGAGCAAGCTTCATTAATAATTAAAAAAACTAAACATTATTTTTATAGGCTATAAAATCATTAAATGACATTGGAAGTTTATAACCCTCTTGATTTATAACCCTCTTGATATGATCAGTACAACAGCAGCAACAACAACAATATCCAAGCCTTAGTTCCAAAAGAGTTTGGGGTTGGCTAACATGAGGACTAGTAGTCAAATAAAATAATTAGCATTGAGGAGATTTTTATGCAATAAAGGACTTCCTTTAAATATTACTCCCTCCGTCTCAAATTGTGTTGCACAATTGACTTTTTTTTGGGTCAAATAGATTCATTTTATTCACTTAATTAGGATATCAATTCTTAATTAAATTTTAATTTGGATTTTGCAACTTTATAGAGATTCTAATTTTAACAATTAGGGGTTTAACTTTAATATTTGTTTGACCAAAAAATGTTGACTTTGCAAAACAATTTGAGACAGAGATAGTAGTTTTCTGGAAATACAGCCCTTTTTTATATTTTGATGTAAATGTCAGAGGTATATAGTGCACCTTGCTTGAGATCTTCTACAAAGTTGTTAAGATCTTCATCAAGGCGCTTTATATGGCTATCTATCTGAAAAAAGAAAAGCTCACAAAAATTAGAAAAAGCTAGAAGTCAAACAGTGAGAAGCTAGTAACAATAATCATAGACTCAATATATTATAAAACTGCTGCATTTGCATTTGTCAGACAAACCATGTTTCATTACAAAGTAAATTCATGCTGAATGAAGTTGTGACAACAAAAATAATATCCTGCTTCATGGCATGCTTACAATGTCATGAGCTTGTCTTGCAAGCAAAACTTTCTCAGTGCAAAGGCTCAATGCATTGTTCTGGTTCACCTCAATCTCCTTCCTCAACCTTTCAAAGGCTTCATCGTCCTCATAATTACTTTTCCGTGACCCATGATTCTGAGAAGCTAATCCTAGGCAATAATTTGTGTGCTGCCTACTGTGATTTATCATGGCTTCAATTCCATTCCATGCAAAGATGCATGCACTTGTTAGAGTTAACTAATATTAACTTCGAAATAAACATAATCTAATATAGAACTGAAAATGATCCTCAAGCTCAATATGCAAGAAAACTAAAGAAATTACACACAAAAATGCAGGGCATATACATTTGCATGGTGAAAAAGAATGGATTAACCTTGGGAACGTTCATCGAGTTCTCTGATAGTATTGAGAAGCCTCTGAAGCTCAGCGGGCAATGTGTTCGAATCTATTGAAGAGATTCAGAAACTCGATATCATACTATTTAGATAAATTTGCAAAAAAAATAAAAAAATCTTGCAGGGTAGCTGAAAATAGTGCTTACATTCCAAATAATCATCGACAAAGACTCCGGTTCTAGCAATCGCCATGAGTTTCTGATGGACTATTCGAAGTGATTGATGCAATTTCCTCTAGGGTTTCCTAAACAAAAGGGGGATCATTTGAGAAGAAAGACTGTACGACGCCGTTTGGGTGAAACGCATGGCCAATGTTTGGAATTCTGGTTATTACATTTTCACCGTTTATCACTTCCCACGAAAAAATTGGGAATATGAGTTGCGAATTGGGAATTTGCTCTCCGTTAGGCGTGGGGTTCTAAAGGAATCGAATCGAGTCAAATAATGAAATTTTGTATTTGTATTTGTTTAATTTTTTCGTATACGAATTCGAATTCAATTATGAAACGGATATTAATTTTGATTTGTATTTGTATTTGTTTAACAATTCAAATAATTAACGAATCATATACAAATATCAAATCGATTTGATCATATGTTTGATATGAGTCAAATATCACTTTAAAGTAACTTTTCTTATCCTCCGTATTTTTTATGTTATAAACGTGTGCTATGACTTAATATGTGTTTTTAGAATTTAAATTTAATGGATCAATGCATTTTTAGATGGTACACAATATACTAAAGTGAATTAATTTTATAATTAATAAATATAAATCTATTTCAAACTTTTTGAAATAAACACTAACACACACATATTAGAAATTAAACTTATATTGTGTGAAATAAGTTGATAATTGTATACTTCCTCCGTCCCGTTGGGATGTTCCCGTTCGGTTTACGATGCTTGACTGACGATAAAGCAACTCAATCCCTGTTCACACTCGGCTTATTTTTAGTAAATAAAATTTACATATTCAAAAACTACATTAAAACCGCTACAAAGCCTGATCAAGAAAAGTTCAATTTGATGAAAATTTGATATATAAAGTAAAAGATTAGGAGTGACCTAAGTTGACCAATGAATAGTGAACGGGAACATTCCAACGGGACGGAGGAGTATATCAAAGTCAAACAACTCTAATTTTATTCTTCAAATTGAATACATAATTATATGTATTGCATTTGAAAGACATTTGTACCAAACAATTGATTTGTATTTGTATTTATATTATGCTTTATTACGAATGGGCTTGTAATCTGTATGTAAAATGTATATATGGGCTACACTTTGAGGGTATTGCTATTTTTAAAAGTTATTATAGTGTTGTTACTATTATTATTATTAATATTATTAATATTGATATTAATATTACCATTATTATTAATTGAATATATTTGATTAATATTCGAATCGAATACACTGATATTCTTATTTGTATTTGACAACAACTCGAATCAAATTTAATATTCTTATTTGTATTTGAATTTGAATTATCCGAATTCAAATCGTCTTATACGAATTCGAATCGCGAATCGAGCACAAATTATTTGATTCGTTTACAACCCTAGTTAGGCCGTCGGGCTTGAGGGGGTTGCCGGGTTGGGAGTCAGCGGGAATTCAGGGAGTTAGGGCCATTAGTTTATTTTTGGGCTTAGGAGTTAGATTGTTGGCAGATTGGATTTCTGGTCTAATATATAGTTATATACTCCCTTCGTTCCGTAAAGATGTTCCCGCTTTGACCATCACGCATTTTTATACAAAAGTTATTGTGTTGTTCACTTTCCCTAATTGCCCTCACTGCTCCCGTGCTGTCCAATCCGCAAAAACAAAGTGAAGGGAAAGGAGCTGCATTTCGGTAAAACAATCACATACAGGGGGTGGGGGTAACAAACTTGACAACTGATTTGATGGTTCTACGAAGAACTAGCTTATGCGTGCAACCAAAGAAATCCCTCCAAAAAATTGGAGGGTTAATACTACAAAGTGCAACAATACACCAAAATTCAAAATTCTCTCCATTTTTTCCTTAAATGCCTACAACTACTTCATCTAACATCATTTACTATCAATGGATCTCTCTTTGGCTCTCTCTTGAGGCTCCTGCAGCTTCCTCAAACCCAACATTCCACTTCATCAAAGAAAGAGTATCCGATCTTTGGGTTATGCCCTAGACATGTCATAGTCTTCCGTGCACAGATTAGTCAAAAGTAAGTAAATAAAGAGACATTCCAATGCCAGAAAGCATTCGACACACATGCTAGTAAAATTAAAAGGTTACAGTTCTGCCTATCTCATGTAGTGCCTAGGCATGTGCCCTTAAACTCCACATTTCATCATTTTTATGATCACATCCACATAGATGAAAAGTATTTTTTTATCAAAAGAAATCACAACATACTACACCAATCTCAGTGAGCCAGACCCCTACAAATTTGTTCAATAAAACAAATATACCCAAAATCATGTTTTTAGCAATTGTAGGTAGGCCTAGGTTCGGGGACGATGGGGTAATGTTATGGGATGTAAAGATTGGTATCTTTCCATTCACATGTGAGGAACAAGCAAAGAGGGCTAGTAAAAATAGACCAATAGACACTTTAGAGACAAAACCCACATTAAGTCTAACCAAAAATGTTATCATGGAGATGATGCTACACAAAGTCCTACTAGCAATCAAAGCTACACGGCCAATGCATGATCAGACAGTAGTGTAAGCAACACAAGGCCAACACAAGGGCAACACAATTACATATACATAGCCTCCTACACTTACTCAAAGTGGGTTGCATATGCATCACGACAGGAAAACAAGTACTTTATGTCGGTTTTTTAGTGTCAGTTTTTTTATACCGACATGAGATACTCTAGCAATGGTTGGCACAAGCATTGGTAGTTGCTTTTCGTTTTACATTGAAAAGCTTTTAACAACGGTTTTGAAGGTTCATATTTTCGGTTATAACCGACGTTAAGTAACAAAAAAAGCCCCTCAAATTTCAGCGCAGGCCCTCATTTCATTATATAGTGTCGGTTATATTCGACATCCCGGGTGAATATATACTTAAATTATACGGATTATTAAAAAATGGTTGGGGTTAATTTCATTCTAGGTCAGATTCACACTCTTCGAAACCTAGGTTGAAGGTCTCTTCTGAAGCCGCCAGCCGCCCAACGTGTATGATGCCGCTCCGGTAATAAATTTTTATGCACTTAACCAAATCTCTTCTCCCTTTCTCCCTTTCTTCTCCCTTTTCTATCGATTTCATTTCCAACGTAAGTACGGAGCAGAAGCTATGGTTATATCAATGAAGAATTCCTCCATCCATCATCTAACAACTTTGAGGTTGTTGCTATTTCCACCATCCACGATCTTGCGCGGTTCTGCACATCATTCCTTCATTATTATCACCGCTATATCTATAGAAGGCTCGTTACCGTGTTTTCTATTTTTGTTTTCTTTAAAGGTCATAGGTAAATTTTTTGACTTTTCTAGCTAGTTACATGTCCTTGTTATTTTGTTTTTAGTTTTTCACATGCGATTATTCATTTAGTTCAAGTGTAAATCTAACATTCTTGCTACTGAAATTATAAGAATGTTAACAGCTAAGCATGTTAACATTATGTTAACATTGATGCATAATGTGATCCACACCAAAATATGTTTTTTTTTCTAGAAGGTAAAGCAAAACCAAGTTTGGATTTATATGACTTATTTTATTTTTATTTAATATGTTATTCGATACAATTTTTTCATGAGATGGGATGCCGCTCGTTTCCAAAAATGTGCTCAGTTTGAAGTTGTTTCTTAAGGCGGTTAGTTAAATTGAACCTCTAGTTTGATTATTTAGAAGGCTCCCTATAGTTTCAAAACTTTGATTAACAACAACATGTATCAAGACTTTCTCGAAGAAAAGAAACGATATGAATAAGAGTTTGTTCAATTAAACTAGGTAATCTCTAATCTTTCATGATTCAATTAGTTTTTTCAACTTGATTCAGATCCTATTTACTTGATGTCATAGAAAGAATCACTATTTTAAAGGATAAATCCATGGGATGAGAAATGTTACTATATTAGTTCCTGTTAGAAAAACTTCATCGTTCAGGTCCATTTTTCACTTGAAATTGGAAACTTGTTTGAGTATTGCATTCTGAATGTTCATTCTTTTTGTGAAGTGCAAATCAACTTGGAGTAGTTTTGTGGAGAACACAAGTCTACCTGTGAAAATGAGTGAGCCGCAAGATGATCAAGACTCCATGGTACTAAAATGTTGAAGACTTTCTGTTTAATTAATCTTCTGCTGATAATGAAATGTCTTTTTTCATATTTCTTTTGGATGATAATACAGTGTTTTGTCACAAGATAAGCTTATAAAGCTCGTATAGTCACAATCAAATCATAGCATCCCCTTCTCATTATGTGCCGACTATCTTGCTATCTAATTGGTGATGAACATTTATAGAGCTTATACTCTATTTCGAAAGCTGTAGACTAGAAGATAACTTCAAGTTTGCAACACCTTGTTTTCCAGGAAACAAGTTCGTTCGTTGAGTTTCTATCACAAGAAATAGCACACCAAAGATGTCTATCCCAATCAATAGAACACTAAAGATCTTAAGGAGCAAGTCACAATTAAATTTTTTTCTATCATTTGTATTTCATATTAGTATGGATCTTTAATAAATTCCAGATCACTGAATTTTTGATATTTTAATGAGCTTTGTTGTTGAACTTCTGGGAGGCATAATTGTGTAGTATGATTATTTTGTTATCTCAAGTATGGGTAGTACTTAAAGAGATACTCTTCACATTGCATTGCAATGATCAGCTTGAAGAATTCTTGATTAAAGTATTTTACTCATTTAGTAAGGTAAGCAACAATGAGGTAATTGCATCAGTTAAGCAACATTCAAGTAATATTACTAGTTAAAAGATAATAATTGAGGGTGTGCCTGAACTAAGACTATTCTTTATTTGAATTAATTAAAATTTTCGCTCCTACAATTCATAAATATTGATTTCTTTTGAATGGTAGTAAATTTTACAATCTTCAGGATTGTATTTGTGAATCTCTGTTTTGTTTATTGCATATTAGTATGGTTTTTTTTTTTCATTTTTACTGTTAAATTTACGATCAACATTTAACATCTTGTCATGTAAACATGTAAAGCAGTAGCACTACAACATTTCAACATCTAATGTATCACCCAAAAGTATTACAATAGCACTGAAAAGTGTTACATTGGAGAAAATGTAACACTTTTTTACCATTACATTTGCTCATGTTGCATTTGACCTATTGTAACACTTTATAGTCCCTAATGTAACATTTATACTTCTAGAAAGTGTTACATTAGGTATAAAAAGTGTTACATTAGAGAAAAATGTAACACTTTTATATGTATGTTACATCTCCAATGTTACGTTAGG